GGAAGCAGGTAACGCGAGTCATGAATTTCCCATTTCGGTTCGGAACCTCTCGTCTCAAAACTGAGGGCTTGTTTCCTCACTCATTCCCCGTCGACATGACGGCTCTGCACGTCGGACTTCGCTACGACTTATGACCGGGATCCGATCGATAGCAGCTGAGAGACAACTGTTCATACCTCAAGCGCAAGCAATCTTATTCCGCAGTTCGTGATCTGGACTGCTCCCCGCGAACAAGTTTGTAGAGCCTAGAATTATCGAAATAAACTGCAGTCCTCCTGCCGGGACGAGCCCGTACATCCATGTTTGTTGTTCTCCTTGTGATATTTCGACGGAGCATTCCTCATCATGGAGGACTTCAAGGTAGCGACGGATCCGGAGAGCTGGGTTTGGAAACATTTCTTGAAGAGTTCCAAAAGCGGAAAATGCATGGAATGCTTCAGGGTAGGCTCCGCATAAATATCATAAACATATGGAGATCAGCAGCGAATCCGCAGAGAACTGTACATAAGTTGTACACAAGTATACGTATTTTTTTCTGGATTCGGTTTGGTGCGGATCTTATCCGCGGATCCGAGCCCAACGGATCCGCGGATCCGGTATCTGCGGATCGCTTTCACGGATCTTTGGAAGGCCTAGCCGCAAGTCGTCCGGATCTCTTTTAGCCTTACATCACGTGAATCGAAGAACCGTCAGCCCAGAGTACCGATTCCGGAGATCCTCGTGGTGGTGCATTGCTCCCATCCGTAGCCTGCAGAGCTTGTCGAAGCTGAGCTCTTGCTCATAAACCATAAGTGTATTTTGCTTCAGTGGTACGGCTTAGAGCAGAGAGGAGCTCCGCGTACCACTGAATCGACAAACTCCGATTCCGGCAATTTGTCATATGGCCGATTTGACGCGCACTTCGGCGGACTGCGGGTCCCCTCTCTCATGCATGATTCGTTGACCCGTCTATCGCCATGGATCAGAGTGCTTCAGAGGTAAAATTGAGCGGGAGCTCGCGAGCGTACGAGTCCGGGAGGGTTGACTTCCGCTGATGCTCTTGCCTGTGATTCCTCAATATTCTGCGACAGACGCTCTGAGAGATTCTCATTACACCTCACGATGCGAACAGCTAATCAATGCCCGGAGATTTTCGGTTGCGCAACGGGCTTCCTCAACCATGTCCTCGACTTCGATCCCCTGCTCCCGGCGTCTCCGCTCTCCCCCTCGATGGATTTTCGCATCGTGCCTTCTAAATGGGAGATTTCTTTATTCGGGGCGTCCCTTCCTGACTGAGTGGAACTCCCGCCGGACATTCTGTCTGTGTTCCAGACGATGGGAAAATTCGATCTCATCCGGCACGAGAGCAACACAACATCCTCTAGAACCAAGCGCATCGACCGACTCGCGTGTCGGTCGAAGCTGCCTCGACAAAGGTCACGGTACGTCGTGCTTCGCCGAGCTGCTTCAGTCCTTGAGTTTGTCACCGCAAAGTCCAGTGGAGGGTCGACAATTGCACATCACACGGAGCCCGTAAGTCCTGGCCGCCGGGCCCTAGGGAAGAGTCTACGCTCGCTTTGGCAATCATGGCTCTCTTCATTCGTCTGCTTAAGGGGGGCGAAAAGATCAGCGGCGGAGAACCTCCCCCTTCATGTCTCAAAATCAGGAGTGGGGAAATCCATGACACCCTGACACTTCGGAGGCGTCAGATTGCGGCATCGACACAACCCGGCCGACGATGCTTCGCGGCTAGAATTCGCCAACACCCGATTTGGCGCTGGAGCTATCAGGCCATGGAAGATTGGGTCTTTATACCTAAGCAGAGCCTAAGGAAGGACCGGAGACGGAGCGCGTGGGTATCATCATCGGTTTGACCGTACCGGGAAGCTTACAAGCGTACCACTCATGGTGGTGAGCGAGACCTGCGATCATTGGCTTCATGCGTGGAGCGACAGAGACGGGTCTGAATGAATCGTCCATCTGGAGCTTGATAGCAACACCCTCGACAAATTCGATGATTGACCGGTTTCGAACTGATTTCAGAAGTCGAGCTCCAGCGTCTCTATACTTCCTCAGCTTCCGCATCTGATTTCGGGCAGCCTCTGGGGACGCGTGGAAGGCCGCCCCGAATTCTCGAGCTTGACGCGGTCTCTCGGTGGGACGCCATGGAGGTCGGCGTCGCAAGCCCAGTCTGATTTGGAGGCGTCGATGAGCAGCTGCCGAGCGATTACGATTGCTGGCCAGGATCCGCCGATAGAGGTTCCGGGTGCACCCAGGGAGCGAGGAGGATCTACGAGCTTCTCCTTTCCGCTCTAGTTTCCCTCTTACCTCATCTGCCTTAACACATATACACTCGTACTATCGAAGCTCGTTACTACGAACACGGGGGGGCCGACGACACTGGTTCGTTGTACCGAGTTTCCGCTGGAACGCATGCCGCTCAACACTATCCCTATGGCGAGCTGGCCAAAGGAGGAGAAATTCCTCCTTCGTTGTACCGAGAAATTCGTTATAATGGGGGTCCTCATAAAGAGCTTTCACTGTGTATCTACGAACCAATTCAGTGGTGAGGGGCGAATACTATATCCGCCTACTCGGCGCCCGGTACAACGCATTCGGCGTCGTCGTCGACTGGGGAAACGAAAGCCAGCGCGGTAATCATGCTGCGCGTTTATCGCATTGCGGTCTCGCTGTCGTCCGACCCTGCGCGGTCTCCTGTATAATGGTGATGGGCTGCCGATTCTCGACCACCCGTCGGTCAGACGGGTACTCGTGCAAACGTGCGTTTCACTTCGTGAAATGTCGAAACGACGCCGCTCGCGCGGGAGACGGTGTGGGTTCGATCCCTGCTGCCGGAAAAATATTCTTTTCGGAAGCGCCGGTACTCGGCCTTGATCCTCCTGGGTACTATGGATCCGTCCTCGGAAGCAATGTGAATAACAGTACCCGGGACGTCAAACCTTGGCTGTGTGGTTCAGCTCGAAAAAGTTGGGGAGCCGATTCTGAGCTGAACCCGGCAATTTGGAGTCTCAGCAGGAAATCCTGGCCGGCATCATGGATCGAACTTGAAACTTCCCACGCGCGGCTGCTTGCGTCGCATGCGTTAACCCCTCGGCCACCACGTGGGGATTGGATTGTGGGTACTAAATTGATTGTGGGTAATTGTGGCTGTTAAATTCGGCGCCCCTGTCCCATGTGTGTCGGCCGACTTCGCTCGCAAACGCCTGTTCCAACGAGTGTTCGACTCGCTCCGTGGAGTGCCCGATCCCGTGACCCAAGCAGACAGGACCGATTTGCGTGCCCCCGCGCTGCTCTGATCATGCGAAGCACTAGACTCGAGTAAAAAGTCTCGATCAGACCTAGTCAGGTTGCTGATCGAGAGAAAACTGGCCCCCCAAGGCTCATTGCTGAGAGGTTGTAGAGAAGAAAGTTTCCGGAAAAGCATGCATCCCTGCGATTGGAGGCGTCTCCAGTAGATTCTGATGGGTCGCGATTCTCGAGGACGTGCGTCGTGGCGTCGACGCTCCCTATTCAGGGCTGCGCTCTCATTTTCGTTGGCCTCTTCTGTGGGAGCCTTTCCCCACTCAAGAACGCCCTCTTTCGGTGAGCGTGGAGTGAGAAGCTTGTTGAAGCTGCGTGAGGAGAGAGGTGGGATGAGAGAACGGATATCATTGGCTCCATCGGCGCCATGGAGGAATGCGCGGGAGTCTAATTCAGTCCCTAAAGTGTCGGCGCCGACATGTTTTACTTAGATCTCTATGCACAGTATCGAGTTGTACAGCTTGATCTAGCGTCATATCAATGAGCGGAGCCCATTAATAATGTGGGGTCAGGGACATTATTCGGGCTCGGGTTTTCGAGCGGAATTCTAAGGCTCTCCGTCACCTGCTCTTCCCTGCGATGACTCGACTCTATCGATCCGAAGTATTATACATCGGATCTGGTCTAGGGCTTAGGAGGGAGCCAAGCTTGTGAGCCTCGACAATATTGCGGAACGACAGCAATAGCTCGCTGCGATTCTGGCCCCGTTCTCTCGAAGTCTGACTGCTCGATCAAGTCAAGAGATCTGTATTGGATAACGACATATCAGGACAGCGAGTGGGGGACGAAAGAGAATGATCGTCCCGTGATAGGGAACGTGTTCAGGGAGCCATGACCTGCCAGAAATTTTCGGTCTCATACCGCTCCTGTACTGATTTCATTTTGGGACGGGTCCTCCCTGGGATGAATCAGTGGAGTAATCCAAGAAGGATCCGATTGTAAGATCAAATCTTTTCATCGGAAGAAAGACCATGAGCTAGAGATTCGAGAGTCTTCCTGAAATCAGAGTTCCGAATCTCCTCGGTGACCTCGTACGGAAGCTCAGCCGGATAGGAACTATCTATGTAGTATGGAGTAGGCACTCGAAATGAGCCTTCTAAAAAAGTCCCATCTGAGAGACAGAGGAGACTCTCCTGTGACGAATTCATCGACAGCGACGGCTGGAAAACCTAAGAGTTCGGCTTGATGCTTCTCCCGTACATGAAGATTCCGCTAGGAGCTCCAGCCTCTAGCGAACCATACGATCACGAATCGGCTCCGAGTGTTGGTTCCAGGAAGGGACCTCACGGAGAACTTTCAGGAGATGATTCTCCGGAGTATTTATTCAAGAGCGAAATGAATATGAATTTATTTCTCCGGAGTTGGCTCAAGGAGACACAGATCTCACTCGTAGAAGCATAGTAGGAGGGCGGTCAATGGGGATTCCACTCCGACGGACTGCCGAGATTACCGAGAGATGACGCTGACTCGAAAAAAGCGCCAATCCGCATGAGAGCTTCGGCTCCGGATCTCAGTACTCGGCACCGGGAATATGGGCCAGCCCAGGACCCGAACCTGGGATATTCTGGGGAAGGCCTCCTCAGGGAGGACATGACAGATCGATCACTCATCGCGCATGGCGGACTCACTCGTCCAGAGCGCACCCGGTTTGGCTCGCATGGATGGCATTCCACTGTAAGCGAATGATAAATAAATCGCGCTCCATGAGATGGTTTTATTTCCTGCCCTTTTTGCCTTTCTTCTTATTATTATTCGGTGTTTTCGTTGAAGTCGCACTCGTGCCGGATCCCTGAGCTTGCGATTTCTCGAGACGTTCGAGGAACTTCTGCTGTTGTAGAACTTGCGGCGCCACTTGGGCTTGGAGAGCTCTCTGGTGCTGCTTGAAGGTTTCGGGGTCCTGTCGGTAGTCCATGCCGCCGATGGATTCGCAGATCATCCTGAATAGCTTCCGTTCTTGAAATAAAATACGTTCTCATAAAAAAGACCGCTGACAAGCCGGTAATGCAAACTGGGAGGATGATTCACTCGGAAGCCAGGGCATCGGGAACTAAGAATTCAGGTAGGGGTGTACTGTACTCACTGTTCGGGAACTCGGGGTGTATTGGCTTCCCATTATCGTCTCTGAAGTGAACTCGAACTCGAGATCTCATGAGGACGTTTTCTTTATCGACTTCCCGCGGATGTACTTTGTAGCCTTCGACAAAGAGATCAAAACCTTTCTGCTGTAGGGCGATAACGATTTCCCGTGTGATCGGATCCTCCACAGCCTGATAATCGAAAGCAAAGCATTAGAGCTCTTGAGATTCTGTCGGGATAAGAACGAGGAGCAACCGCCCGAATATATCGTGAAGTTTGTCTCTCTCACCACTTCTTTTGGGACCCTCCTGCCTTCAGCGACAGTTTTGTTCTTGTTCAAGTAGATTGGAAACACATGGATCCATCTGGGAATTTATTGGAACTCTAGGTTAATTTTTCTTCTAAGAACTTTAAGTTTTCCATCGGAAGATCTCACGTCGATGAACATGTCCTCCCTCGAGAGCTCGAGGGCGAAATAGAAGAGCAAAGCTGATAAAGAAGCGAAGTCCGTCAAATTTTGGTGGCGATGGATCAGGTGTCCAGGTTGAATCTTGCCTGTCAGCTTCGAAACTCGAGTCTTCCTCGGACCCACCTCTCGTGCTCACTGTGTTTCCTCTGGGGATTATAGGGCCCGACTTGAATGACATTCATTGGATTTCCTTGTTGGTCAGCCATGTGGACATGATCCGGAACCCTCCGGGAAACGCAATTTTCCGGGCAGCTGTTGTGCCTGAGTCTCGTTGTTTACATTCATGACGTATTCGCCGTCTGCTGCTGATCCTTGGCTCGTAGCTCAGTTCTCTGTGTCAGGAGACATGCTCCCGCCAGGACCTCCCGCAGAATCTGTCAATCCTCACCCAGGTACTCTGACACGGACCGCGGCTATTTTCCCGGGGAATTGCGCGTCGAAGAGATCGTCAGTCGGTCGTGGTGCACCCCGCCGAGTAAGCGTGTGCTGATCTATTCGCGATCCGATGATAAGACACCGACACCGCGCATGGGATGATGGTGGATGCCTTTCAGGGAGCCGCTCCAGGAACAGGAACCTTCTAGGAACCCGTGGGAGGCAAACTGTGAGGTGATCAGCGCACAAGAGAACGCTTCCATCCAAGCCGGAGGATTCATATCAGGGGGGTGGCAACTCCTAAATAAGATATGTTTCAAATCAGCGCGCCCAAAAAAGTAAACAGAGAACCAAGTCCTTACATTCTTCTGTATTCGAAAACCGTGTCCGGAATTCTCGAATCGAGTTGTTAGGATCTTCCGTGCTCCAAAAAATTAGGACGAGCAGGTTAGATGACTGATATTAGAATTGCGATCTCCCGTTGCATTCCGGCGATTTGTTCTCTTTGCGGATGGAGCTGTCGGTCGTTCAGGAGTTTTGGAGCTGACTCCTAGAATCGATCATATCCAAATCGATGTACTCCAACGAGCATACGAGGGTTGAGATGCATCTTGGAATCAGCCTGGCACTCTCCTTCTATGGCGGTTGTCATTGCATAACTTTCCTTTATCTGTTAATGACACTTCCTGGCACGAGACGTTATTTTCTGTATGACAACAATTCGTGTGTTAACCTACTGCGCATATTTCCTTGACCCTGTGCATATTTCCCACCCTCGCGGTTCTCGCTACATTGTTGAAATTTGAAGCTCTCATCCAACCTTAATCAGGGTCAATGGCTTGTGTCGAGATGGGAGCTTTTGTCAGGATTCCAGCCTAAGGAGGGTAACACCTGTTAGTATGGCTGCGTTATTTTCCGATACCTTAGGAGACTGCGCGCGAATGTGTCATTGATTGGACATCCGCGTTCCGAGAGTGCGCGCCCAATCTCATGTGCGCCGCGTTTCACTGAAAGAGGAGATGCTCGCTGCTTCCCTTTGTTCCGGCCGACAGAGCTACGTGTCGCTCGTCTCCTCTTTCTCCGAATACCATGACTCACTGCTCGGTGCTCCGTATTGGGTTCTGTTGCCGAGGCTACTGCGGATCTCGCTCAATAGGGCGCAGCATGATGAGGGGACGTTTTCGATCTGGGTATTCCTCCCGTGAGTTGTAAACATGGACCGGATTGAGCCACAGAATCCCATGAGAACCATCTGAATGAATGATTCTCCTCGGAATATTGGGGGATATTCTGCTGTTGATCTCTCCAACCTGAGAGGGGAAATCCCTTTCTCGAAATCGACCAGAGATTCGGAGCTCCGAGACGCGCTCCAAGACTTTTGAAAAATAGAGGCCTTCCCGGCGGCTGACTCCGCGTATTCTCACTTTTCAGCATCGTATCCTGGAGCTCGGAATGGGGGATGATGATGTCTCTTTGAAGGTGAGTGCCAGTCCCTTGGAGGGATTCCGCGGACCTCTCGCGCGACATGAATCACGAAACTTTTGCGACTTTATGGGATTTCGCCTCTAGGGCTCGGCGTCTTCTTCCGGAGCACCGAGTGCTTCGGCTCCTATTCAGAGACGGGGTATCGGGCGTGGTCGATGCCCTACTGCCATTCCCAGTGTGACCGACTCCGGATTGGGACCAAGTAAGTTTGAACCTCCTTTGCGAATCTCTTTTCGAGCCAGAAGTCCTGGGAAAATTTCCAACACGACAAACGATATACCTGCGACATAAGCTTCTCCGTTGCAGGCGGATCCTCGCATGAGCCCTCCCTCGGTGATTCCCAGTCAGTGAGTTCCCGCAGCGGATTCCGAGGTGAGTATTCCACCCTTTACTTGAGCTACTGGCCCCTTCCTCATAGCAGACGACTTCAGTGACCCAACTCGGAGCCGGAAAACCATATCTCTTTTATCGCGAACGTCTCTTCTGAGAAAACTCTTCTATTACGATTACATCGGAGCGCTCGGGCTCAGATTCAGAGTCGCCTCTGGAAAGAAAAGACTTCACTAGATTAAGTTTCTGGTCCCACTGCAGAAACGAGAAGCTCTGTCTCCGGAGCCTTCACGGATGCGGATGAATTCCAAAGTGGATTGGAGGATGACCAAACCGGTGATGACCAGTAAGTTCTCTAGAGTCCATGTTGAATTCGCTGTCCCATCGCCTCCGTCCCGATGTCTCAAGGTACGAATGCTCCGCAACACTGGGAGAGAATCAAAATTCCAGACGGTTCTCAAACATCAATTGCCTCTTCTTCGATGATGTCTCCAAGACCGAACCCTTCAAGGTCTTCAAATACGATGTCTCGTTCTCCCGCGAGCTACTCAACAAGGACAAACGATTGATTTTTCTGAAGAAGCTCGTTGGTCGAATAGGGGAAACGATTTTCAGCCCTCCCAGCATTATATACGCTCCGCGCCCCATTGCGCCAGATAAACATGTAAGGGCGTGCGCTTTCTTATCTAAGAGTATCCGCAATGTAACCTGGGTAGAGGGGAGGGCGGGCGAATTCCGTTCATGAATAGTAATCGATCTTTCATCACAGACACTGCTAACAACGATCCACGCGGAGGATGTGACTATCGAGTTGACTCCCGTGAGTCAACCCTTGAAACTCAGCGATTTCTTCTCTTGTCTGCTGAAACAGGTGAAAAGTCTTGCAGGGCATATCCTTATTTCCCCTTTCCTCGAGGATGATGAGTGAGCTTAATTTTTCCTACAGATTCCCTTGTATCTAACCGAGCCCGAAGTCTACATTCCTATGAATCTTCTCTCGAATCAGTGCCGATTCGAGGTGTATCCCGGAGATGTCCTGGACGTCGCCGAGCGAGAACACATTGTTCGATGCGACTCAAATTTCAAACACGACTACGGAAAAGTGGATGACATCATGTGAGCGCCTTGTAACATGATCAGACGTATTGTCCTCACTAAACGGGGCCTAGATTCGATGATGCGGTGGATCCCCGAGGAAACCAAACAACAAACGGGAACTCCTCTATTCTCATGCGGGTTCATCTTCCAGAGAACAATGTATCGTCTATTCGGCCTTGCGTTGCGTTCCCGAAGCTGTGTTCCGAGACATAGTGGAGCGGAGTCTGCACGAGTTGGTTGTTCTCAACAAGGACGATAAAAGGAGCTACGTCGTGAAAATGGTTCTCTGGGATGAGAAATCCCGCTCGAGCGGACCCATGCTCGTGAGTTCCGTCTCTATTGATGAAAACTGGAATCCTCGCGAGCCCGTCTGCGGATTGTTTGATTATGTTCCCGCTGGGGGTGACCGAGCCAGATATGATATTAACGCTGATTTTTCCTCAGCGATGCCGACGTTTGAACTCCGAAGACATTCATCGTCTAGACCCCAGCGTTCTGGAGGTCAGCGGATCTCGCCGAACCGCGAGCACGCATGCGGGCCTGGAGAGAGGGGGTGGAGACAAGATCACAAAGTTTGTAGGAACTCCCGCTACGGGACAACAGCGTCAATTGGCGCTAGTACGGTACAAAGAGAACGTGGGTCAAAGCGGCCCCCGCGAGCTCCTGGAAAGATGGGGTCTTTCGCTAAGCGACAGCGCTGTGGTCTCCAATGGGGTGGTGTTGCAAATAGACATGTTGCGCATGAATGACAACACCGCCAACCTCCTATCGAGCTGCGGCTGGGTCAATCGCTTGTCGAAAGTTCTCGTCCCGGTGAGTTTTTCTCTGAATTCTACCTCGAGTAGAGCTCCTCCGATTTTCCACCTCGCCCCGCGGGAGCATCAGGGTCGGCAGATCTGACTCCTGGGCGGCGTACCAGGTGGTGAGTTCGAGTTATTCCCGCGATCGACAAAGGCTTGACGCGACTATCACTGATTGGTTCATGCTCGGCGGTTGCAGGTGCGCATCAAGAATTGGTACGTCATCTACGAAAAAGGAGATGAGAGACTCATTGATGACATGATTGAAGTTCTGACGGCAGACGCTCCGACGATCGGAATCGAAATGAAGATCCCAAGGAAGCGTGCGATCCTTGAGTGTTCGTCCATGGCCTATGAGAGGCTGATGAATGAGTGCCTGAAGCTCAGTGTGAGTTCAAGTGCGGAGTTTCTTCGCGTTTTCTCCGATATCAACGGGCTTCTGTACGATGGCATCGAGTTGAGAAGAAGTTTCCCGGACAGCCACTCCTGTTCTGTGAGACTCCGAACACATTCCGCAGGGCAAATTACCTTTACAGCCTGGCATCGAGCTTTTCATGGTTGTAGTACGATCTCAGCGCACTGATATTTACCGGACTGTGAAAAAATGGTCGCTCGGGCACAAGAAGCCTATCGTCACCCAAGTCGTGTTGCGGGATACGGTGAAGCAAATCTGCAACATGTTGGAGTTCAGTCTTTCCGTCATCACACAGATAAACTGCAAACTCGGGGGTGCTCTGTGGGCTCTCGACAAGAGAGTGGACAGTACGTTGGTAATTGGTGAGTTCGACTCCATTGAATGAAGATCTGCGACTTCGCCGGACGAGTCGAATGAATAGAAAAAGTAGAGCGATCCTGGATCGAGAATCGATTTTCCTGAAGAATTTATTGAGCCTCGGCATTGAAGGTCTCTCCTTGTTCACTTCCGCGCAAACCGGGAAGGATGTGCTCGGTTTCGTTTCGGCGAGGAATAAGCTGTTCACTCAATGGTACTCGTACGCGATAATGGATCCAGAAGCCGAGCTAGAAGAGCAGTTGAAAATCGCGATCCGCAAATACGCGAAGGTGCGTATTTGTCAGCGGGAACATCTCCTCTATTCCGTATCTCGCGGACCTCAATTCGAATCGTTACGTTGCTTGCGCGCCGGAACTCCCGGAATGAATGCCTGCTAAACCGAGAAGAATCATCTGCTTCCAGGAAAATGGCGATGTCTGTCCTGATAGGATCGTAATACTATCAACGCAAATCTACGACGAAGATTTCCCTGCGAAAGTCACCCGGCACGTCAGGAATGTTTTCAGCAGTAAACTCACACTGGTTCACGTCGAGGAACCCGCAAGGTCAGTACTCGAATCTGTATTCGTCTGATCGGGGAACACGAAGACTCATTATACGCCGGTGCACCATATTTCCAGGTTCAACAAAATCGTCCATGAGCTCGCTAAGGAAGCCAAGATCGATGAGCTGAGAGAGTTGCAAAGAAAATATATCTTCGTGCCACAGAGAGAAGGAGCAGACCTGGATTTCATCTGCTGTCGAGTAGATATTAACGATGATGGCCTGAACACCAGGGATATCGCTGGAATCATCAAACAGCTGAAACATGTGTACTACAATGTCGCGGGCGAGGTGAACTTGCCGGCCCCAGTATTATACGCCGAGCGTTGCGCTGAATTCGTATCAGAAGTTCTCGACGGGCAGCAAAACCGTGAGATATGCGACAAACTCTACTATCTATAATCGGCTCCTGATGGGAAAGCTCCCCGCAGCAGTACCGACCCGAACTTTCGAGATTTTATGGCTCAAAATCGCAGCCCTTCCGCCGATCTGCAAACTAGCGATAGCGCCGAAGCTCACTGCGAATATCCCAAAGCTTGTACAAATAAAGTAAATCGTTTTTCCGGATGTTTTTTTTTACTCAGATAATTATACATATATGTACATGTATCATCCATGACCATCACAGCGGATGGATACGAAGAAGAATTAGCGGCAGATTCGCTCGCGCAGGAAGCGAGTGCGGGAGGATGCCCGATTCCACCTGTCAGTCTCCCCAGAGGTCCTCTCCGAATATTGAGATTACTAGCCGTGAGGACGCGAAGCTAAACTGCCCGCGTGCCGGATGCGATGCGCTCGAAGCCCCGAGCGAGTTTGTCGAGAGTTGTCGACAGAAAGCACAGATCACGGGCAACCACTGCTTAGACTACTCGTCCTTGTCGCTTAATCTCTTGAAGAATGTACGCAGTCCGCGCGTGAGTCTCGACGTTCTTTTTGTCGAAGTCGTTCGCAAGGTAAACAGAGGAGCTCCGATTGGAGTTGGACAAGTTACATTGACGCAGAGTCGGACTCTCCCATCGCTGCTATGGAGCAGGACGAATGAAAACAGGTGAAATATCGAGGGCATCATCATTCGGATACACTACATTATCGAAGACATAAACCCCTCATGGAATAATTTTGGAAAGCATTAAGTTCGATTTCGTAGCTCTCGATTTTCATGGAAGCGCGTAGGGAGCGATCCTCATAACTTCACAGAGTCAGGCGCTCAATATTACATGATGGAATGCGAAATAACATGATAGAATGCGAAGGAACATGATAGAATGCGAACGAACATGAAACTTGTGCGATGCTGACACGCAAGCTCTGGAAGACGATGATCTCCTGAAGCTGGCAGGAATAAAATCTATTGGAATCCTCGATCATCTGATTGCCCCGGTCATGGTCCCGAGGCGATTCGAGCCTCCGTATGGGTTTAGGGAAGCTCGTCCGGTAGGCTGCCGCGCCGTCATTTGAATCGTGCGATTGTCGCCGGAGCAGTCGTAATATCATTTGAAGATATTCTGGACAGCTCTGCGTTCGATCTCGGAGCTCTCATCGGTTCATCGGGTAATGCAAAGCGAGCAGTCCTCATAGTTTCGCACACTCGGTTGAGATACTATGAATGACTACGTGACTCTCATGCAAGGCTGACTCGTGAGCTCCGAGAGTAGCTTCTGAGGCTGGAGAGAATGGACCTTATTGGTACGCTGTCGATCCTCTGTTCTTCCCGATCATGCTCACGTAGTAGGCTTCTGCGTCGTCTTTCGCATCGCACCTTGGCGGAACGGTCGGGGCATCATGTGGAAAGAGCTAGTGGAGAGGTGAAACATCCAGCGAACACCGGAGAAAAACTTGCTAGTTTTCCGGAATAACTTAAGAACGATGCCATGAATCGAGTGAAAAATTGCTTCTTACGCTAGCAGGGATGATTCTGCATCGTCACGGAACAATTTGAGATCCCTCCAGACGCCAATAACTCCAATTTTGGGTACGGTGACGGTCCGACATCACTGCTTTATTCTATAGCGGGGGAGAAAACATCGGGCTTTCGTCTGCTCTCGGGTGTAAACAGAACGACCATATGATCATGACAGCAGCGCAAACGGATATGCTGTGACGATGATATCTCTCAACTGATGTCTCTGACTGTGACCGACAGATTGCCGGTCCCCTCCATGGACAGTGACGCCCAGATCAGTCCCTTGAGGGGAGATAATGATTCGGAAGAGCAGCTTTCCGCTAGTCAGATCTTGAGCAGAGATCTGGCCGCAATGTTGAATGTTGAGGATATCGAGAGAGTCAAGGAGACACAAAAAGTAGGTAGAATTTAGCTTTTCGCAAACCCGAGATAACGGCTCTCAATCGACCGATTCATGAGTCAACGGGAAATCGATCCCATCTGATTAAGTTAAAACAAACCGCCGAAATCTCCCCGAGACCACCCTGTCACGATCAAGAGTGATCGGATCTCATGTTCGCGTCTGTGATTGAACATAATCTTCTCTATGCTGCCTTTGTCAGGTTATGCTGGAGCGTTTCGAGAAGTCCAACTGCATGCTGGCCACCTGCAATGGACTCTCTCAGAGCCGATTGGCGGCGGCAACGAAGGAGCTATCTCAGGTGAGTTACTGCCTACGTACCTTCCGTCCTCTGGGTGATTATAAGAAGGGGGACCATATCTAGAACAAAAGAGAAGACGTCTAGGCCTTTCATCTTTCACAGCACGTATCTCTGCTGCAAGACCTGAAGAAAGATCTTGATAACATATTTGGTCGGATACGTTTCCTCAAGTCTACATTGGCCAATCAGTACCCCGAAGCTTTCGCGAATACGGAGTTGCCCGGCGTCGACGAGGAAGAGGAACTTGAGGAATGATGGGAACCGAACTCGCCCTTGAAAGTGCCATACTCGTCTGCGAAACAACAGTGTATGTACATATCAGTCTCGCTGGCTTTTCTTCTATGAGATGTTCCCTCCACGACGAGTTATCGCTTATGAGCCTCGTTGAGGGAAGGAACAGCGAGCATCGACGATTGAATAAAGCCTCCTTCCGAGACTCTGGCTCATGCATTCAGTCGCGTGTACTCCGAGACACCAACTCCTGTGGAGGGATGCGATCAAAACTCTATTTCAATCAGAAATGTTCACCGATCCACCTCGCACCCATTCCCTCCCACTCAAAACTGAACACTAAAAGATGCAGAGTGAGCTTCCTAGGATGAATAATTAAGGGTCATGATTCGGCTCCCTGCGAAGAACGTCATCGCACATGCCAAGCCGCGCAGAGAGAGATCACCTTCTCCGTGCGGGACTTAAGCTCCTTGATTTAGCTCCCAGTGGATTCTCGGAAGTTCGTGTACCGAGAGCAATACTGCAATTTCGAAGTGTAGAGAAATCCATCATACGGAAGCCGCCGTCGGGATGCCCCAGCAATGCGATCCGAGACGTACATCGGGCGGTCCCCCAGTTGATTTCTCACCACTTAAATATATTAAGTTAAATATATTCCAATGGAAAATCGAAAAACCAGGGGGTAGCCCATCGCACTTTCCCCTCGAAACCACATCGATCCCGAGAATCACTCCGAAAATCGAGTTGGGGACCACATATCCACAAGTAGATGGGGTTATACAGGGAATAGCAGACCTCGAGGAACCAGCGGGAAGCTTTCACTATAAAAGCGGAAATATACTGAAGCAAAAATGTATAGCATTGGTGTTATACATATAGGTTGGGACCGGGAACTCGGTTCACTCGTAGCGGAAGTCCACCGTGAGCAAGCCTACCATAGCGGGATTCCACTGTATCCACAAGAGGGAGGAATGATTCACAGGTGAGGTTGCACGCGCATTCATCGTGTCTGACGTCAAGTGTAGCCACAAAATTTTCATAGGCGTACTGCTGTCATGAGAACTCGCTGAGAATTCCTCCAATATTTCAAGTGAGCAAGAGAAGGCTTGACGTTCTGCACGAGGATCCGAAAATCAGTGGGGAAGCTTCGTCCAATTCCGGTGGAAGCGCTCTACAGGGAATCGCGGCTATTGCTGATACCCCGTTCCTCGCCTGCTTTTTTTCGACCGCGAGGATATGCGCGTAGCAAGGAAGCAACTATCGTTTGTTTGGCTGGAAGTTCTGAGACCCGTATCTCCTTTTCCTTGACCGGGCCGCATTCAGAATATGAAGGAGCAGCAAGAAACTTGATGCCAAATATATCGCCTCCGATGATCAATTCGTCTCAAGCTCAGCGAGGACCGCGGATGGATCCCGTCCCCGGACTTAGACTGCATCTCTGCTGACAGTCTGAGTGGACCTGGCGCTGTGGCGGAGTTTCCGGGTTTGAGCAAGGAGAATCCAATACCGACTGACCATGGCGCCTCATCACGCTGCAGTGCGCCCGATAACACCTGTCCACGCAAGACTGCTCTAAATCGCGCCGGACTATCCGAGATTACGACCGTGAGCTCACAGACGGAATCGACAACGGCAGCGGCGCGCTGTGTACAGGCTCTTTGGTGTATCCGGATACATTCGCCAACATTGTGGCGGGCCCTCAATCCTCTCAAGCTCTGATCGATTGTTTTTTGGCCGAGTTCGGCGATTTCAAGCCGGGAATCGAGAATTCACTCATCCCCACGCTCGGTGGAGTTTTGTGAATCTTCCGACGCGATCGGTGGACGTAGCATGATGGTCAGCTAAAATAGACATGAGTATGCGGTACGGCCCAATCGGACGTGTCTGACTCCACGCCAAACCCGGTCTGCCGTCGGAGAAGAGAGCGATAAAGACTGGAATAGAGCTCAGACCGCCCTCGCCGTAGAGCCTCTCTCTTCTAGTTTACCAAAACAAACAATAGCGCCCTCTTGCGTCTGGACGATGCCGGCGCGAAGGGTCCCCTTGCTCACCGGCTGAGGCAGAACAGTACTAGCCCGTAAGCCGTAGAGTCCGTAGCGAACTCGAACGTGTCCGTCGTTAACGCGAGAAGCAACTTCAATTCGTCGTTTGTGACTTTTGTTCTGTATTGCAAACAAAGTAACCCTCAGTGACCTCATCCATACTCGCGAATAACAGTGACACAAGCGGAAAACCTCTGGATAAACAAGAATTGGTGACTTCTCCGCTCTGAGGGGAATAGCGCTGCCACTGGAGACGACCACGGAGAGAGTTCATTGACCCCCTGCCGCTCGGTAAGCATTGCACGAACTCCACTCGAACTGAAATTACGTATTCTTTTCGAGTGACAACCAATTTAGCAGGTGGCTGATACAGCTCGCTTTGAGCAGATACTCGTCAATCTTGGGCTATGGGGTGTCAGTGGCCGCTGATACATCCGCGCAACTAGATCCGATCGCGCGCGCTCTCTCCAACCGGCTACCGGCATTAGTTTCCGCTGCCCCGATAAGCAAAAAAGTTGTCAAAGCGAAGTTGTCGTTCAGCCAGGACAATAGACGGAAGACTCTGACGGAACGGCGATGAAAGGGAAAGCCTGATTTCGGGGCATAGAGCGGCAGAGAGTTCAGAGTACTGATTTTTGCATAAGTTCGAAGAATCCTCTCGCCTCGATCCTTTATTGACGACTCATGTGGAACGGAGGTTGGGAATCATCGCTATATCGGAAATCCACTTGATTTCTCGATCTTTCCTCTTCACTCGACAGGTCGCGCGTCGTTGTCTGATTGATCATCATGATTTTCTCATTGCGGAATGCCCCAGCCGGACTCCAGTTTCCGAATGCAGTCGGACGGACCGTTCACGTTGTCTGGCGTGACGCAGTCCCCGTAGTGGCGTGCCGGTACAGAATCAAAGGTTCGGTCAATGACCTGGCGGTCTCCGACTCTCTCGAAAGAGTGTCCCGTTGACTGCGCTGTTGGCCGATTCTCGGGTTGGACGGGCGAGCTTTCCACTAGAACTATCGGTTTGAAAAAGAAAACCGAGAAGCCATGCATTCCACACTCTGCGGCTCTTCTTCTGCCGATTGGCAGGAGGGAAAGGCTCGATATTTTCTTCTGAGATGTGCCTCGGGATCGAAACGTTTCTCCCGAACGAATTGCTTCGACAGCGAAGTGCAAGTGTCGTGTGAATTCGTATGAGACAACCGAGTTGTCGAATGATATCGCTTTGATAGAGGTCCTCGAGATTTATTGTGAACTTGGAGCCAGTCGGCCCTACCGAGGGTCGATTGTCTCTGCGTTGCCGAGTGACATCTCGCATCAGATCGATGATAAGCGCGAGTAATCTCGAAGGATTTCGCTGACCAGTCGGCGGAACTCGACAATTTTCTCATGAGGGAGATAAGAAAACGGGAGGAGCTGCTCATAAAGATACATGAAAAAAACGAGAACGATACCGTGTTGCGGTTCGAGGTCCGCTTTCTAACGTTACGCTGACCTTCAGTTCTCTGTCGCTGTCAATACAGAATTTCGAATATCGCCCCCGGAACGCCCCGGGTCGTTGTATTGAGCGCGGCATACACGACTGGAGTCGATTTAGATTTCTGAATCTCACCGGAAAACGTCCGCGGCGATTTTATCGCGATATGACATCGACTGGAACTTGAAGACGAAAACAAATGCCACTCGATTCTGAATGATCTGGCGTTGAGGACGAATTCCTGGACGAAACCGTGGAGAAAGGAATAATGATTGCTGATCGCCGTCTCAATCCGTTTGTGTGAACCAGTAACCAGTTCGGCTTGGCATGGAGCCGCGAGGATTCTCTCCCGAGATTCTATTGGGTTCCGTCAAGGACGTCGATGTACAGCCCCGTTACTATAAACTTTCTTCCCGTTCTCGATTCATTGTACGTTCGACGTACAGAATGTCACGTAGCTGGTCGATCGAGGATCGTTCGTGCTCTCAGATTGCGGATTCGGCAGGAATCGACGGCGACTGATAGCGAGCTCCTTCGCGGGGAAGTCTGCATTTGAATGAGCTTTCGCCTAAGAAGATAAACCAGCGTAAATCTAGCGCAAGAAAAATGTTGTTTTTTTCCTAATAGAATCTCATTCAAGGATTTGTTTCAGTAGAAAGACAGATGGGAGCTTATCGCGCTCCAGAGCTTCGTCGAACGAAAGACCGCAAGCGTCTGAACGAGCGGGCGGGCGGGTAGGCAAACGAACGGGCGGCCTGTCGATCGGTCGAGAACAGAAGCTGAAAGACGAACTCGGATCTCTTGTTGCATAAGCGCCGGGGCGACTCTCTGAAAAGTCTGAGAAACGAACTTGAGTCCCGACGCACTTTTTCTAAGAAATCTAATGAACCTCACACACTCATTAATAAGAAGAAACACTCCGAATCGCTCATGGCTGATAGCTCAATCGCCAAGTTGACGACTGATGGGCTCGTCGATGAGATTTCCGTGCCGGGACTCGAAACTTTTCCGCTATTGCTTTGGTGAATTCTCTAGCGGGGGGTTCGGGGAAGCGGCACGTGACGAAGGTGTCCATGAGACGAAATCAATGCGGATTCGGACACGCGAAGGAACTCGACGAAAACTTCTATGGTGGTCGAATGTAGGGCGAACATTGAAGGAGTTCTGAGCTGCCAACTAGAGGGAGCTGGAGCGAAAGTTGGCACCACTGACCGACATCGGGGACGGAACCTGTGCCAGAAATCATACTTTTGACGGGGTGCCTAGAGTTTTCGATGAGGAGGGTGCGAATTCATCAACCAGAGGTGTGTCCCTCCACGGCATAAGGTCTTTACCGAGAACGCAAAGTCAAGGTCAATCGACGACTGACGCTTTGTAACCTCCCGTAAACTCCATTTAGGAGCGAGTTGAATATTCGAGAAGGAGGAACACCTCCACTGCCGAGGAATATAAATGTCGAACATTTACACGCTGGTGGAAAATGAGGGAAACGCTCAGCCCGTACGAGCTCCCACAGAAACCTTGATGTCGCTCACATCATTCCTCAAGCGACGGACTGTGTCGAATGACTCCGCGAACGTCGAGGCATGTCCACAGGAGTATTTCCACCGTTTGCTACTTTTTGTGCAAAACAACGGTAGCGTTAACGTCGGCTTCCATCCGAATGGTTTTTCGCTTTCCAGCATAC